CCCCCCCCTAGAAATTTGGAACCTCCTGGTGGCTGGCCGTACATTTTGCAAGTAAATTGATATCAACCAAAATTTGTTTTGTTTTGTTTAAATTACGCTAAGCTGAATTAGAATGAAGTCCGTGGTTAGACTGCCTAGCTTGTATTTTGTTAATTCAGTAAAATTACCAAAATTTAAATAGGAGACAACTTGTTTACCACCCATTGCACATGTACATAAATTTGGAGTGGACATGGAGTGGACTGTATTAAGAAGCATATTAAGAAGCGACCAGACGATTACAACGGTGTCAACTGCAATGAACCAATGAACCAGCCCTCGTACCAAGGTTTCAGCTGTGGTTGGAGCTATATAAGACAGGCCTATGCAATAATCTTTTTGTGTATTTTCTTAACTTTTTGATACTTTTAATATTGATTTTAGGAAATAAATTTAAGGACACTTAAATATACCTAGTTTGTCAATTTCTGATTAGATTGCACGAGTGAAAACAATAACAACACATGGGGTAACCTATGTATGCATAACATTGTCTGAAATCTTCGTCTGTACAGCATTGGACATCATTTTAGGATAGAAAAAGAAGCATTCAAAGTTCCCTGCCTCAGCAACTTTGATGCCATATTAATTGAAGTCGCTTAAACTAAATAAACCAGTATAAATGCTTACGTTATTAAATAGTATAGATATGTGCATAAAATAAAAAAATGTAATTACTTAAGTAAGTATATGTATCTAGTTAGGTATGAGGCTAGAATTAGGTTAACATTATCATAACGGCCGGTTATTTTCATGCATGGCGCACTTTACTTCGACGCGGAGCATTATGGGAAGCTGGAAAACCTCAATTCATGCTTCCGGTTTCGTTTTCGTTTTGTACCAGCACAGCACAGAGTGACAGAAGATGTAACTACCGTTTGACTCATACGTCATGTGACATGATTTCACGAGTCCTGTACTATCACTGAGTTTATTTCAATTATCACAGACGTGTGTGGATTGTGGAAAGTTTGACAGAGAACCTACCTAAAAATTGTAAGTGTGTGATGAATGTGGATCATAGGGGTTCGTTACAAATGTCTGAAATACACATATGCTATACTGATATGGGTCACAGAACACATAAACATACAAGTTTATGTGAGCTCATGTGTGCTGTGACCCATATTTGTATATCATATGTGTATTTCAGACTTTTGTAACGAACCCCTGTATTAATTGTTATTGTAGAATGGTTGACAGCGAATCGACCTCCATATGTACATGTATAACAAGTTGTAAGTGATCACTGATGTATATGGATTTGAAAAAAAGGATGTCAGGAAAATCTAGAATTCAGGGGTATAACCCAAAATGGAACAAATATTAATCTTTTCTATCTATTATCAGGAATACATTTTTTTTAACTATGATGAAATAATTGCACAACTTTATAGCTTTCATTTTACATATTTCACGGTGTTATCAATGTGTGTTTCTATTTAGAGTTGATATAGTTGAGTCAGGTTTATACTTGGAAATTTTAGCTTGGCGGGTATCCCAGATGGAACACCTTGATCATTATATAAACCAAATGAAAATAGAAACGATGAGCAATTTACAACACCACTGAATCCGGTACAAAATGTAATGTTTGATTTACATTCTACATGCTATGCTTTCCCTGATGAGCACTGTTGAATACCATTAAGGTATCCACTCTCCCCCCCCCCCCCCCCCCCCCCCCAGTTGTTAATATATAAATCAGTTCAAGAAAAAATAACTGGCACGTTCCGATGAATATTAGTCCTTTATTCATGAACTTATATTTTCCTGTGTCTAGAAATGTGATAGCTAGGATATTATTGATGTTGTCTTACCATACAGTTTCCCCAGACATTTTCTCATTTCAGTTTTTAAAATTTTTCAACTCAATATATTAGCACGCAAGAGATCTGAAGATAGATTTTGTTTCAAATTGCTTGAACTATATAAATTTTGACCAATAATAGAGATATGTAGCAGAACTGGATTGGGTTAATCGACAGCAACCAGGTAGCTCAGTTGGTAGAGCGCCCACCTTAATTCCCAGGGTCCTGGGTTCAAAAACATTTCTGAGAAACATCCTTTAGATTACCAAAGAAATAGGAATAAAAAAAGGTGTAACATTTCTGAGACACATCTTTTACATCATCCCTGTATACAACCCGTGCAACAGGAATCCATATAGGTGTAACCTTTCTGAGACACATCCTTTAGATAATCACTGTATACAACCAGTGCAACAGGAATCTATATAAGTGTAACCTTTCTGAGACACGTCCTTTAGATAATCCCTGTGTACAACCAGTGCAACAGGAATCTATATAAGTGTAACCTTTCTGAGACACGTCCTTTAGATAATCCCTGTATACAACCAGTGCAACAGGAATCTATATAAGTGTGACCTTTCTGAGACACGTCCGTTAGATAATCCCTGTATACAACCAGTGTAACAGGAATCTATATAGGGGTAACCTTTCTGAGGCACGTCCTTTAGATTACCAAAGAAATAGGAATCAAGAAAGGTGTAACATTTCTGAGACACATCTTTTACATCATCCCGATAATCCCTGTATACAACCAGTGTTATAGGAATCTATATAGGTGTAACCTTTCTGAGACACATCCTTTAGATAATCACTGTATACAACCAGTGCAACAGGAATCTATATAAGTGTAACCTTTCTGAGACATGTCCTTTAGATAATCCCTGTATACAGCCAGTGAAATAGGAATCTATATAGGTGTAACCCTTCTGAGACACGTCCTTTAGATTGCCAAAGAAATAGGAATCAAGAAAGGTGTAACATTTCTGAGACACGTCCTTTAGATCACCAAAGAAATAGGAATCAAGCAAGGTGTAACATTTCTGAGACACGTCCTTTAGATTGCCAAAGAAATAGGAATCAAGAAGGGTGTAACATTTCTGAGACACGTCCTTTAGATCACCAAAGAAATAGGAATCAAGAAAGGTGTAACATTTCTGAGACACGTCCTTTAGATTACCCAAGAAATAGGAATCAAGAAAGGTGTAACATTTCTGAGACACGTCCTTTAGATAATCCTTGTATACAACCAGTGTAATAGCAATCTATTTAGGTGTAACCTTTCTGAGACGCGTCCTTTAGATTACCAAAGAAATAGAAATCAAGCAAGGTGTAACATTTCTGAGACACGTCCTTTAGATTACCCAAGAAATAGGAATCAAGAAAGGTGTAACATTTCTGAGACACGTCCTTTAGATCACCAAAGAAATAGGAATCAAGCAAGGTGTAACATTTCTGAGACACGTCCTTTAGATCACCAAAGAAATAGGAATCAAGCAAGGTGTAACATTTCTGAGACACGTCCTTTAGATTGCCAAAGAAATAGGAATCAAGAAGGGTGTAACATTTCTGAGACACGTCCTTTAGATAATCCTTGTATACAACCAGTGTAATAGCAATCTATTTAGGTGTAACCTTTCTGAGACATGTCCTTTAGCTAATCCCTGTATACAACCAGTGTTATAGGAAGCTATATAGGTGTATCTTTTCTGAGACACGTCCTTTAGATTGCCAAAGAAATAGGAATCAAGAAGGGTGTAACATTTCTGAGACACGTCCTTTAGATCACCAAAGAAATAGGAATCAAGAAGGGTGTAACATTTCTGAGACACGTCCTTTAGATAATCCTTGTATACAACCAGTGTAATAGGAAGCTATATAGGTGTATCTTTTCTGAGACACGTCCTTTAGATCACCAAAGAAATAGGAATCAAGAAAGGTGTAACATTTCTGAGACACGTCCTTTAGATAATCCCTGTATAAAACCAGTGTTATAGGAATCGATATAGGTGTAACCTTTCTGAGACACATCCTTTAGATAATCCCTGTGTACAACAAGTGTAACAGGAATCTATATAAGTGTAACCTTTCTGAGACACATCTTTTACATCATCGCTGTATACAACCCGTGCAACAGGAATCTATATATGTGTAACCTTTCTGAGACACATCTTTTACATCATCCCTGTATACAACCAGTGTAATAGGAATCTATATAGGTGTAACCTTTCTGAGACACGTCCCTTAGCTAATCCCTGTATACAACCAGTGTAATAGCAATCTATTTAGGTGTAACCTTTCTGAGACACATCCTTTAGATAATCCCTGTATACAACCAGTGTAACAGGAATCTATATAGGTGTAACCTTTCTGAGACACGTCCTTTAGCTAATCCCTGTATACAACCAGTGTAATAGCAATCTATTTAGGTGTAACCTTTCTGAGACACATCCTTTAGATAATCCCTGTATCCAACCAGTGTAACAGGAATCTATATAGGTGCCCCCTTTCTGAGACACGTCCTTTAGCTAATCCCTGTATCCAACCAGTGTAATAGCAATCTATTTAGGTGTAACCTTTCTGAGACACATCCTTTAGATAATCCCTGTGTACAACAAGTGTAACAGGAATCTATATAAGTGTAACCTTTCTGAGACACGTCCTTTAGCTAATCCCTGTATACAACCAGTGTAATAGCAATCTATTTAGGTGTAACCTTTCTGAGACACATCCTTTAGATAATTCCTGTATACAACCAGTGTAATAGGAATCTATATAGGTGTAAACTTTCTGAGACACATCCTTTAGATAATCCCTGTGTACAACAAGTGTAACAGGAATCTATATAAGTGTAACCTTTCTGAGACACATCTTTTACATCATCCCACAACAAGTGTAACAGGAATCTATATAAGTGTAACCTTTCTGAGACACATCTTTTACATCATCGCTGTATACAACCCGTGCAACAGGAATCTATATAGGTGTAACCTTTCTAAGACACATCCTTTAGATAATCCCTGTATACGACCAGTGTAACAGGAATCTATATAGGTGTAACCCTTCTGAGACACATCTTTTACATCATCCCTGTATACAACCCGTGCAACAGGAATCTATATAACCTTTCTGAGACACATCTTTTACATCATCCCACAAGAAGTGTAACAGGAATCTATATAAGTGTAACCTTTCTGAGACACATCTTTTACATCATCCCTGTATACAACCTGTGCAACAGGAATCTATATAGGTGTAACCTTTCTAAGACACATCCTTTAGATAATCCCTGTATACAACCTGTGCAACAGGAATCTATATAGGTGTAACCTTTCTGAGACATGTCTTTTACATCATCCCTGTATACAACCCGTGCAACAGGAATCTATATAACCTTTCTGAGACACATCTTTTACATCATCGCTGTATACAACCCGTGCAACAGGAATCTATATAGGGGTAACCTTTCTGAGACACATCCTTTAGATAATTCCTGTATACAACCAGTGTAATAGGAATCTATATAGGTGTAACTTTTCTGAGACACGTCCTTTAGATTACCAAAGAAATAGGAATCAAGAAAGGTGTAACATTTCTGAGACAAATCTTTTACATCCTCGCTGTATACAACCCGTGCAACAGGAATCTATATAGGGGTAACCTTTCTGAGACACATCCTTTAGATAATCCCTGTGTACAACAAGTGTAACAGGAATCTATATAAGTGTAACCTTTCTGAGACACATCTTTTACATCATCGCTGTATACAACCCGTGCAACAGGAATCTATATAGGTGTAACCTTTCTAAGACACATCCTTTAGATAATCCCTGTATACAACCTGTGCAACAGGAATCTATATAGGTGTAACCTTTCTAAGACACATCCTTTAGATAATCCCTGTATACAACCCGTGCATCAGGAATCTATATAGGTGTAACCTTTCTGAGAAACATCCTTTAGATAATCCCTGTATACAACCCGTGCATCAGGAATCTATATAGGTGTAACCTTTCTGAGAAACATCCTTTAGATAATCCCTGTATACAACCCGTGCAACAGGAATCTATATAGGGGTAACCTTTCTGAGACACATCTTTTACATCATCGCTGTATACAACCCGTGCAACAGGAATCTATATAGGGGTAACCTTTCTGAGACACATCTTTTACATCATCCCACAACAAGTGTAACAGGAATCTATATAAGTGTAACCTTTCTGAGACACATCTTTTACATCATCCCACAAGAAGTGTAACAGGAATCTATATAAGTGTAACCTTTCTGAGACACGTCCTTTAGCTAATCCCTGTATACAACCAGTGTAATAGCAATCTATTTAGGTGTAACCTTTCTGAGACACATCCTTTAGATAATCCCTGTATCCAACCAGTGTAACAGGAATCTATATAGGTGTAACCTATCTGAGACACGTCCTTTAGATTACCAAAGAAATAGGAATCAAGAAAGGTGTAACATTTCTGAGACAAATCTTTTACATCCTCGCTGTATACAACCCGTGCAACAGGAATCTATATAGGTGTAACCTTTCTGAGAAACATCCTTTAGATAATCCCTGTATACAACCTGTGCAACAGGAATCTATATAGGTGTAACCTTTCTAAGACACATCCTTTAGATAATCCCTGTATACAACCCGTGCAACAGGAATCTATATAACCTTTCTGAGACACATCTTTTACATCATCGCTGTATACAACCCGTGCAACAGGAATCTATATAGGTGTAACCTTTCTAAGACACATCCTTTAGATAATCCCTGTATACAACCAGGGTACAGGAATCTATATAGGTGTAACCTTTCTGAGACACGTCTTTTACATCATCCCTGTATACAACCCGTGCAACAGGAATCTATATAGGTGTAACCTTTCTGAGACACGTCTTTTACATCATCCCTGTATACAACCTGTGCAACAGGAATCTATATAGGTGTAACCTTTCTGAGACATGTCCTTTAGATAATCCCTGTATACAACCAGTGTAACAGGAATCTATATAAGTGTAACCTTTCTGAGACACGTCCTTTAGATAATACCTGTATACAACCAGTGTAATAGGAATCTATATAGGTGTAACCTTTCTGAGACATGTCCTTTAGATAATCCCTGTATACAACCAGTGTAACAGGAATCTATATAGGTGTAACCTTTCTGAGACATGTCCTTTAGATAATCCCTGTATACAACCAGTGTAACAGGAATCTATATAAGTGTAACCTTTCTGAGACACGTCCTTTAGATAATACCTGTATACAACCAGTGTAATAGGAATCTATATACCAGATAGGTGTAACCTTTCCAATACACTTTCTTAAGAAACCTCATTACATTTAAGGACATGACAGAAACAACTGCACTGAGTGAGGAGGTACAGCCGGAGGTGAAATACTGTGGCAGATATAAATGTCCTTGGACAGATTGGGAATACCCAAATGGTGTTAACTTTGCCTTACGAAGTCTTATTCCTGATGAAAAATGGACTGATAAAAGTAACATACCAAGTGCGGAGGTGAGTTTTCAGTGACTTTCTAAGCAAAACATTAAGTTCATTTGTTAAAATCACATTTGCAATGTTTAGTTATGTCCATTCCTTTTCACTGCCATTTTGAGTTATATTTTTCAATCATAAAATAATACCTTCATTATATACAGTCTGAATATAATTGGCACTGAGAATTAGAATTGAAATAATAATAGAAATTAAATGTATATATTTGGCAATCACGGCAAGGTAGGCGTACACAACAGAAATGTTATAGGCGCCAGATGGAGTTTGAAATTGGGCGTCCAGCATCATCAACAAGAAATAAAAAGTTGATTAGGCATGTATTAAATTGGTAAATAAATCAGATATTGTCGGATTAAATTTTGGCAAAAGTAAAAGGTTTTGTTGACTCAGTTTTCTTGTACATTTGGTAAATTTGGTACAGCTTGAATTTTAGGATTTGGTTGGTCCACATATTTAGATTCAAACTTGATGTGTCGACGTTATAGCAAAGTCTGGCTTTTTTCATTATATTCCGTCTTTGCGTATTGCAGAGTCATCTTCTCTTGTGAGCAGGTATTGATTGTTACGTCATTGGTTTGGGAGAGTAACGTCATCAATTTTTGAGAAAACGACTTAATTTTCTCACACAAACCAATGACGTAACATTAATACCTGCTCACAAGAGAAGATAACTCTGCAATACACCAAGACGGAATAATACTACTAACGTTCTTTTTATTAACGGAACTTTTATGAGTGAAATTTCTCGCTGTTTCAAAATGTAATCACAGTCCTTTCATTTTGAAAACATTGAAAATTACAACTTATAAATCGAACTGAAGGAAAGTATCTTTACATTATAATTAAAATGTAAACATAGGCCTGTGTCAAAGAAAAATGGTATGTACGATTCGTGTTGATGTTTTTGGTGCATGTTTTTGTAAACATACTTGTCAGAGTTTCTTGATAGTTCTGTATATTTATAACTCAAGACGTGTCCATTTCCTACAAGTTTTGTATACTGTATATATATAATTCAGGATCTGGACTGTAAACTACCAGTGCAGGATCCAGATTTCGACAAATTGAAGAATCCGCCTACTTCTGGCGTCCAGGCCACGTGGATTGGTCATGCCACTGTGTTAGTCCAGCTAGACGGTATCACTGTACTGACCGACCCAGTCTTCAGTGATTGTACAGGGCCTGTACTAATCGGATACAGACGTTACCGTCGGCCAGCGTGCTTAGTCGATAAACTGCCACCCATCAACGCTGTGATTATTAGTCATAACCATTATGACCATCTTGATGTTCACTCTGTGCAAAAACTCAACGAGAAATTTGGAGAAAAATTAGTTTGGTATGTTCCGAAGGGGATCAAGACTTGGATGGAATCAATGGGATGTGGAAATGTTGTGGAGCTGTCGTGGTGGGAGGAACACCCAGATTGTAATGACCAAAAAGAAGATGTAACATTTGCACTGACACCAGCACAGCACTGGAGTGGACGTACTCTTCTTGATACAAATAGGGTAAGTGTCTGTCCCCATGGGATGTACTAATAAGATAAGTGTCTGTCCCCATGTGATGTACCAATAAGGTAAGTGTCTGTCCCCATGTGATGTCCCAATAAGGTAAGTGTCTGTCCCCATGTGATGTACCAATAAGGTTAGTGTCTGTCCCCATGTGATGTACCAATAAGGTTAGTGTCTGTCCCCATGTGATGTACCAATAAGGTAAGTGTATGTCCCCATGTGATGTACCAATAAGGTTAGTGTCTGTCCCCATGTGATGTACCAATAAGGTTAGTGTCTGTCCCCATGTGATGTACCAATAAGGTTAGTGTCTGTCCCCATGTGATGTACCAATAAGGTTAGTGTCTGTCCCCATGGGATGTACCAATAAGGTAAGTCTTTGTCCCCATTTTTATACGCCCGTCGAAGACGGGGACGTATTATGTTATCACGTGAGCGGGCGGGCGGGCG